CATCATAAGGGGTCTTCGGGCTGCGCTTTGTCTGGTTCCTCACCTAGGACCTGTCTGCCATGGGTGACCCTACCAGGGGCATAAAGCCCCAGACATCRTAGCTCCAAGGATCATTGGGACACTCAAACCCCTCCACCACGATAAGGTAGCAGCCCAAGGTATCAGCCCTTATAGCCATACTCTGATCCCAAGATAGTTAGAACTCTCCGGTCCCCTTTTTTTAAATGGGAATCACCACCCTGGTCTGCCACTCCACAGGAGTTGTCCCAGTCCTTCATGTGATGTTGAAGAGATGTGTAACCATGACAGCCCCAAAACATCCAGAGGCTTCAGCATCTCTGGGTGAATCTCATCCACCCCTGGCGCCCTGCCACCAAGGAGCTGTTTAACTACCTCGATGACCTCTGCCATGATAATGGACTTGTCTTCCCTTGAGTCTTAAGACTCTGCTTCCTCAAAGGTGGACATGAAGGGTGGATTCAGAAGATCTTTAAAGTTTTCCCTCCACTGCTCAACAGTATCCTCAGTCCTGGTCAGCATTTCCCCACCCAAGCCAATTACATCATGGGACAGGGAACACTTTCCTTTTCTGAGTTGTCAAACGGTTTGCCAGAAACTCCTCAAGGCCAATCAAAAGTCCTTCTCCATGGCCTCCCTGAATTCCTCCCATGCCTGAGTTTTTGCATCTGCAAGCACCAAAGCTGCAACCCTTTTTGCCACCCTGTACCTGTCAGCTGCTTCAGGATTCCTCCAGGAAAGCCAAATCCAGAAGATCTCTTTTTTCAGGCTGATGGCCTCCATCCTGGTGTCCACCTGCGGTTCCTCTGGTTGCCACCATGACAGGCATCAATGATCTTCAGGCCACAGCTCCTGAAAGCCGCATTTGCAATGGAGACCCTAAGCATGGCCCATTTGGATTCCATGTCCCCAACCTCCCCATGGATATGTGAAAATCTCTCCTGTAGACGGGAGTTGAAAATCACATGGACTGGGGGCTCCGTGATTCAATGTTCCCAGTTCACCCTCACTATACATTTACCACGTCTGTCCTGCCTCCCCTGCCCCAGATCCAACTCACCACCAGGTGGTGATCAGTTGATAGCTCTGCTCCTCCCTTCACCGAGTGTCCAAGACACAGGGCCGCAGGTCTGGCGACACAATTACAAAACCGATCATCAACTTTTGGTCTAGGGTGGCCTGGTACCAAGTCCACATATGTACCACCCTATGCTCAAACATGATATTTAATATGGACAACCCATGCTTGGCACAAAAGTCTAATAACAGAACACCGTTTGGGTTCAGATCAGAGAGGCAGTTCCTCCCAATCACCAATAAAGACAACAGGTGGATGTTATGTACAATATATGTTAGGCTGTGCTGGGGCCACTTAAGCTTCAGATTTTTAGTTTTTTAAAGAAATATATTGAAATAGTGACTTTTTGGTTCCTTTCCACCAGCTTCTATAACACATGATGTCAATTGATCACTAATCTACTGCAAACATTTTCCGGTTTTCAAAAAAAACTTAGAAAGATTTAGATTAGGCTAATTAGTAAATTCTAAACTTTACCCAAGCTGGCCTACAATACAAATGTATTTACTGGAAAGTGATCTGTATAAATAAAATAAAACACATGTATTTGTGTTATTTATACACAGGTTATATGTATCTAAAAGAAGGCTATAGCTTGCCAACATAACCTTCAACTTACAGATTTTTTTTACTACTTTCCCCCTCACTTACTCCACCCTGTGAATCCATAGAGGCAGTACAAAACATTTATTATTGTTAACATCATGACCTCAAAGTTAATAAATATCCATTTGGATTATGGTTCGAGGAGTGCAGCACAGTGGGTTATTCAGATGACATCATGTCCACACAGATACGGCCAAACCAGGGTTGTGCACTTTTACAGCTACTGTTGTTAGTGTCTTTCTCACAGTCTGAAGAGACTTTGTGCAGACAGAGAGGAGATCCTGAGTACCCTCAACTGTCTAAAGATGGGGACATTATTTTGGGGGGAATTTTCTACTTTCACAGCAGCTGGAAGAACAGAGAGAACACTTATACAGAAAAACCTCTGCCTCTGGAATGCATCAGGTAATTGCACCACATAAATGAATCATTATTTTACCTCAGTTTTCTCTAATTATTTAATGACTTTGTACAATACTGTTTCTGTTTCAAACATTTATAATAACACTATACTGTATTGTCTGAAAAAAGTTTGAATTTAAGAGAGTTCCAGTTTGCACAAGCCATGCGTTTTGCCATTGAGGAAATCAATAACAGTACAGACCTCCTTCCAGGAATTTCTCTGGGATATAATATTTATGATACATGTGGTTCCATTGTCAGAACCATAAAAGTTGCACTTGCTTTGAACAATGATAACAACAATGTATCTTCAACCTCCGAGGAGCCATGTACCAAACCTGTACAAGTTCAGGCTATAGTTGGAGGAACGTCCTCCTCTCCCAGCACAGCAATAGCTACTGTTCTTGGACCATTTCATATTCCACTGGTAAGTAGATTTGATAAAGTAAAAGTATCTGTAAGTATATAATTTATGTAAGGATTCTGAAGCCAGCTCATGTATAAATAAAATGGATTTTAATAATAGATAATGACTTTATTTTTCTTAGATTATTGTGTTGTTTTTTGTTCTTTTTTTAGATCAGCCACTTTGCTACATGTGCTTGTCTCAGTGATAAATCAAAGTATCCATCCTTTCTCAGAACCATACCCAGTGACTATTATCAGGCTAGAGCTCTGGCCCAGTTGGTCAAACATTTCAAATGGACTTGGGTTGGAGCAATTTGTACAAATGATGATTATGGCAATAATGGCATGGCAATATTCACAGATACTGCAGAGCAGCTGGGAATCTGTCTGGAATATTCTGTTTCTTTTTTCAGAACAGATTCATCTGAAAAGATTCAAAAGATAATTGATATAATCAAAGCATCAACTTCAAAAGTTATTGTTGCTTTTGTATCACACTTGGACATGGCTGTACTCATACATGAGTTGTCCCTTCACAACTTGACAGGGTACCAGTGGGTCGGCTGTGAAGGTTGGATTTTTGAATCTCAGTTTGCAGCAATGGATAAAAATCATATCCTGGATGGATCTATCGGCCTGTCTATCCCAGAAGCACATGTCAGTGGTCTGAAAGAGTTCATGCTTGATGTAAAATCAATGATGTCATCACATAATGACTTGTTTACAGAGTTCTGGGAGGCATTGTTCAGCTGTGAGTTCAAGCAGTCACAATCAACAGGAACTCAAAAACAATGCACTGGACATGAGGATCTGACTGGAGTAGAAAACAGCTTCACTGACATGTCCCTCATGCCCATTCTTAATAATGTCTATACTGGAGTGTATTCAGTGGCTCATGCTTTGCACAATATTCTCAAATGTAATATAACATGTAACAGTAATGTTGTGCTCGATCCATTCACAGTGAGTTTAATGTTACCATTATAATAAAGCAATATCATAAATTACATCATATAAATAACCCCAAATCTTTTTTCTAAGCTTTTGAAACACCTTCATAAAATTCACTTTAAGACAAAAAATGAATTTGAGGTTTCATTTAATGAAAATGGAGATCCAATAGCAAAGTATGGGATCATAAACTGGCAACCAAGTGATAAAGGCATAGTAGATTTTGTTACTGTTGGTCTTTATGATGCATCATTACCTGAAGACAAACAGCTAAATTTGCAAAATACAACTTTCATTTGGGCGCAGAAGTCAAACCAGGTAAAATGTTTTGCATTTGTAATTGTAGTGTTTAACAATATCAGACATAAATTCCAATGCTCTTCTTACATACAGTAAATAGTAGTCAATGTAAACAAAATAATAAAATAAAATAGTTTTTTTGCAGGTTCCTGTGTCCGTTTGCAGTGAGAAGTGCCCTCCAGGAACACGTAAAGTTCTCCAGAAAGGGAAACCTGTTTGCTGCCATGATTGTGTAAGATGCGCAGAGGGAGAAATGAGCAACATCACAGGTTTAGTACAATTTTATGCAAGCTTTGGAATTCAATCAAAGCACAAATTAAATTAGTATACCCTATATATATATATATATTATATATATATATATAGGGTATACTAATACCCTATATATATATATATATATATATATATATATATATATATTCAAGATTCAAAGTGTTTATTGTCAAATGCACAGATGAAAGACATGTCCCTGAGCAATGAAATACTTACGTTGTTATCCATTTTTTGAATGCCGAGAGATAACCATATCAAAAAGAAACAAACCATCATCGAAAGGATACACACAATGTTGATTAGAGAAAAAGAAGAGACTAAACTAAGTATAATAACATCAGAATGGAACAATATAATAATGACCACAAGAAGGGAACTGTACTGTCTGTTTTTAAAGTGTAATGTGCAACAGGTAACAGTCTGAAATGTGCACATGTGCAATAATAATAGAAGATTGTCACAATCAGCTGTTTAAGAGGTGTAAATTGTCCATGCTGGGGGTGGGTTGTGTCTTTGATGATTGAGGCTGCACTCCTTTGAACCCTGCAGTCGTAGATGCTCTGCAGAGAGGGCAGTGAAGTCCCTGTGCTCTTCTCAGCAGTTTTTACCACTCTCGTTTGTGGTTTTACCACTCGGCGTTTGGTCCATAGTGGTGGCACTGTTGTACCAGGCTGTGATGCAGCTGGTCAAGATGCTTACTACAATGCAGCTGTAAAAGTTCCTGAGGATCCTTGTTGACATGCCAAACTTCCTTAGTCTCCTCAGGAAGTAGACTCTCTGTTGAGCCTTCTTGACAAGCTGTGTGGTGTTTTCAGTCCAGGTCAGGTTCTCAGTGAGGTGGACGCCCAGATATTTAAAGCTGCTCAACCTCGAGGTCTCCGATGTACAGTGGTTGGTGCGGCCTCCTTTCCTTTCTCATGTCCGCTATCAGCTCCTTCGTTTTGTTGGTGTTGAGGGTGATGTTGTCCTCACACCAAGACACCAGGCCGGCTACCTCCCTCCTGTAAGCTGCTTCATCCTCCTCAGTGATGTGTCCTATCACTGCAGTGTCTTCAGCTAACTTCAGGATTATGTTGCTTTCATGGGAGGCAGCACAGTCGTGAGTGTACAGGGTGTAGAGGATTGGGCTTAGGACGCACCCCTGTGGGGTTCCGGTGTTTGTGATGATTGTGGAGGAGGTCCTGTCCCCGATCCTGACTGTCTGAGGCCGTCCAGTCAAAAAGTCTAGGAGGGCGGGTTGAATTCCTTGTGAGTCCAGTTTATGGATGAGTTTTTGGGGGATGACTGTGTTGAAGGCTGAGCTGTAGTCACGAAGATGATATATATATATAT